GTATTGTTCAAATCAGGGTAATTAACATATCCCTCTCTTTGTCATTACACGATGTTTGGAGACTTCTTCTCTTTTTATTATTCATTAAAATATACAATAGGTTGTTAGGAACTATAGTCACCCCACTGTGGTATAAAGTACTAGAACATCTAAGAGGAAGAGGGCTGTGGCCCAGAGTCTCCAGGCCCAGGTAAGAAGTGATTGAGCCACAAAGGTTTCTTTCTCTCTCTTTTTTTTGTTTTAAAGATTTATATATTTTTTACTTGAGAGCAGAGTTATGCACAGAGAGGAGAGGCAGAGAGAGAGAGAGAGAGAGAGAGAGAGAGAGAGAGTCTTCTATCTGCTGGTTCACTTCCCAATTGACCGCAACATGCGGAACTATGCCAACCCGAAGCCAGGAGCCAGGAGCTTCTTCCGGGTCTCCCACGTGGGTGCAGGGGCCCAAGGGCTTGGGCTATCTTCTATTGCTTTCCCAGGCCATAGCAGGGAGCTGGATGGGAAGTAGAGCAGCCGGGACTTGAACCGGCGCCCATATGGGATGCCGGTGCTTCAGGCCAGGGCATTAACCTGCTGCGCCACAGTGCCAGCCCCGAGCTACAAAGTTTTCAAGCACAGTTAAAGGACTTTATGACTTCACTGCTTCACATTCTGAAACTCTGGGATTAGTTCAGTGTCAGCTGCTTGCATCCTCTCTACACCTGCTGCTCCTATTTTAAGGGAGAATAACTATGCATGGCAGAAGCGAAATCCGGCACCCCCAAGAAAGAACACGCCATTGTCGTGTTTTGGTTTATCTCACCCATCCTTCTTGGCCTCCAGTTACACCCATGTTCGTCCTGGGAACGTTTCCTCCTAAGGAACATGGCTCCAAGTCCCTTCCGCCATGGAAGTGACGTCGTTAATCTGGAAACCACAACCAAGCAGGTTTTTGGCTTCCTTATTGGCAAGAAGATCTAATGCTCTTTTTTTTTTTTTTTTTTTTGACAGGCAGAGTTAGACAGTGAGAAAGGTCTTCCTTTTCCATTGGTTCACCCCCCAAATGGCCGCTACAGCCAGTGCGCTGTGGCCAGTGCGCTACACCGATCTGAAGCCAGGAGCCAGGTGCTTCTCCTGGTCTCCCATGCAGGTGCAGGGCCCAAGCACTTGGGCCATCCTCCACTGCCCACCCCAGGCCACAGCAGAGAGCTGAAATGGAAGAGGGGCAACTGGGACAGAACCGGCGCCCCAACCGGGTCTAGAACCCGGGGTGCCAGCGCCACAGGTGGAGGATTAGCCTAGTGAGCCATGGCGCCGGCCAGATCTAACTCTCTTAAAAGACAAAAAGTGCTGATGGAAGGACATTTTTATTAATCCCTTGCCCCACTGAGGAAACCAAGTGGATGCAGATACATCAGCTGAACATTTTCTAACTTCAGGGATTTTTTTTTAAAGAAGTAATCATGCCTTCTCTTGAAAACACTGTTTAAACCTTTCTGACTTGAATCAATGACGATCAGCAGGATCAAGGTATATTTCCAATGGAAGCTTTTGAAGTCTGCAGCCTTTTAGACTTCGATACTCACTTATGTGTTCTAGGCTTTCCTGAATTTGGCCAAGTTACTGAGGTACTGAAAGCCTTGTGAGCTGCACACAGTGTGTGCTGGAAGTATTGATTGGTGACCGATGGGTGTAACAGGTGTAGTTGGCCCTCCGCCCGTGTGCCCTTGGCACTCACTCTTCTCATGACTTTTCTTCCTGTAAGCACACACAGCTCTCTGAGTGTCCCAGAGAACAGAGCAGCCCAGGGGTGCCTAGGAGCTAATGCAACTCTTAATGCATGCAAATCAGATTTGGAGAATAAATTCCCAGCCCTCTCCTCCCTCAGGTGGAACAACCTGAGCTGGTTCTTCACCAGCTTCCAGAATCGGCTACAGACAGGCTCGGCGCTCCAGTTACCCCCAGAGGTAGCTGGTTTCACTAATGCACTTTTTACCGAATTCTTTCCCTTTCTGGTCTTACTTCCCATGCCCCCATAATGCTCTATGGGATTACCCGGCAGATAAATGATCTGCACTAGAATCCTTGTCTCAAGATTTGCCTCCAGGAGAGCCCAGTCTGAGATATTAGGTTAAGTTAAATATGCCCATATTCCAAGAGGTGGGAAAGCACTCCTCCAGTTGAGAAATATTGGCAACATTGAAAGACCTCAGCTTGGGCATTGCAACTCACCCTCTCTTTAGCAAGGTCCTCTTGCATGTACAGGGCTTTAGGCAGAATAGCATGGATGATTTTATGTAATTGGCCAGGCCATGGGATGCCCCATGGTCAGAAGTATTTGCTCCAATTACTGGATCTGACTTAGAGGCTTCCTAGGGTGACAGTCTCACCTCCAGGGTCTACACAGGTGTCCTATGAGGGAAGCTGGCCCCCAAGGCACCATCCTGGTGGAGGGCAGACCAAGGCGCCCCCTTGGAAACAGCCTCGGCTTCTGGGCTTGTGGTGAGAGTGACAGCGCCGATGGTCTCGTTCTCCCCTTGGCTTCCGCTTCCTTACAGAACAGCATTGGTCCCCAGCTCATTCACAGCTGAGCGATCTGGGCCTGCAGAACCCTCAAAGGCATGCGGCACTGCATCCTGCTTTTTCTTGCCCCTTTAGTTCAGGTGCCAGGGTCTCTGTTAGCACAATGTCACCTTTGTACTCGCTCCTGCTACAAACCTCGGGTGAAGTCTGTGTGCTGCCCTCTCATCTCCTTATCAGATGGTCAGCAGCCACACCCTGAATAAGCTTTCTCATCTCTGTTTTTTTGTGATCTGGACTGACTAAGCATGTTCCAAATGTTTTAATTCTGCTTGCTCTTTCCTGAACAACTCCTCTCTTGGTCCGTCTCCCCCCTTTCACATCTTCCTAGAGGCAGTCAGGAGGAACCAAGTCACTCCTTCGACTCTTTGCCTGAAATCTTAGCTATGTAAGTTCCATTGCCCACAAGCTGCACCTTGCACAAAGCACTAGAACCATGGTTACCTACGTTCTTCCCACATTCGACTACGATCACTTTTCCTCCAGTTCCCAATGGCGTGTTGCTTGTTTCTGTCTGAGATTCACCCGAATGGCCTTTCCCATCCATATTTATACCAACTTTCTGCTCAACACATTGTAGCATTTTTCTACAATCTGCCTCAAAACTCCTCCGGTCTCTACCCATTGCTCAGTTCCAAAGCTGCTTCTACTGTTCCAGGAATTTTCTCAGCAGAAATCCACCTGTCAATACCGAAATATGGATTAGCCAGGGTTTGCCCGAGAAACAGACCCATACAGTGCATGGGAGTAGGAGAAGAGGGAGGGAAGAGTGGGGTGCAGGGGAGAGATCTTATTGTAAGGAATCGGGTCCCACAGTCTCAGAGCCTGCGACGTCTCCAGATCTATAATCAGCAACCGAGAGGCCCTGGAAGGTGGACGGGTCGCTCCAGCCCAAGTCCTAAAGGCCACGGCCCCAGGGAGCTGGCCGTCTAAGGTCCATTCCTGAGATCAGCAGGCTGGAGACACCGCAGAGCCAAAGCTCATCAAAGGCCAGCGCCCCAGCTCAGAGCAGGAGGCTCCCAGTGACTCGTGAGTGTGTCAGCCTCTTAGTTTGGTTCCGATCTTTGGTGGACTGGATAACCACTGCCAATGTTCAGAAGGGCAGTCTGCTTTACCGAGTTTACCACTCCACGTGTCAACCCCATCAGAAACCACTCGCACTCTCACAAGTATACCCAGAGCATCCAACCCATCAGAATTATCCCTACTCTGAAAGCACTAATTCAGCTGGCATTGCTAGGTTTGGAACTTGCTTGAGACCCATCATCACCCTTTTCTTGAATGTCCGCCCACGGCTGTCCCACTGTTGTATTTCAGAAGCAACATACATTGTTTGGTGTCACAGGTTCAGAGATGGAGACCAATTTGGCCTCTGGATGAATCAAAGCTGGAATCTCCCCAGTGACACAGATGACACCTTGGCCACTGGAGAGGATGCTGGAATGTGCTAACGCCTTGGGGGCTGTGGGAGGGGAACGGACACGTTTTGTATTCCAGAAGGACTCAGATTTTAAAGGGCCAGGGATCGAATGCTGTGGACGGAACCGTGATCCCTCAGAGGTTGTATGTGGAAGCCCTAATCACCCATGTGACACAGAACCCTCAATGGATAACTCAGGTTAGATTTGTTCATAAGGACACCACTGCGGTGTGCTAAGATGATCTCTCTCTCTCTCTCTCTCTCTCTCTCTCTCTCTCTTTCTCCCCCACCATCTTCCCTCCCTCCACCATGTAACAATGAAGTCAGAAGGCCATCTTCGGGCAAACCAGGAAGAGTCCTCACCAGGAACCGGATTGGCTGGCTCCCTGATCTTGATCCTTCCAGCTTTCATAACATAAGAAACACATTTCTGGTGCTGGTGTTGTGGCAAGCAGGTTAAGCCACTGCCTGCAATGCCAGCATCTCATATGGGCTCCGCTTCTGACCTAGCTCCCTGCTAATGCTCATGGGAAAACACCGGAAGATGGTTCAAGTGCTTGGACCCTTGCCACTCATATGGGAGGTCTGGATGGAGTTCCAGGCTCCTGGCTTCTGCCTGGCCCAGCCCTGGCTGTTGCCATCATCTGGCGAAGTGAACCAGTAGATGGAAGACCTCTCTCCACCCCACCCCACCCCACCCATCTCTCTATAGCTCTGCCTTTCAAGTAAATAAACAAATCTTTTAAAAAAGAAAGAGAGACTTTTCTGTTGTGGGAGTCATCTAGTCTGTGGTTGTGTGGCAACTCGAGCTGACCAAGATGGAGGTAGTTGTGTGCGAAGTCCCCTGTGACCTGTCTCATTCCAGACGTCTCTCAAACATCCCCAGGACCGTTACAGAGAGGGACATCCCGCTGTGGCAGTCAAGGTGTCGGCACGTGTTACCCCTCACTTCCCCCAGAAGCCAGAAATACTCCTCCCAGTGTCATCCTGCAGCATTTGCAACAAGAATCCGGGAAAGAGTCACTCTTTTTCATTCGTTTTATTAGCATCAATATATACAAAGTGGAAAATGACTCAATTTCATTATTCTAGCTTAGAAAGTTTGTTTTGCTTCGGTTTAGCGAGAAAACGAAAATTTCCCAAGAGAAAGCCTACCTTTGGGGTGCTGACCAACTCAATATCTGACCTCCGATGACCCCCTGTGCCTAGCCAAGGACCTAGGAAGGCCATGCCTGTAGATTTATCTCATGGCAGGGTGGGTCTTGCCACAGGCTCACGCCTCAGTTGCATCCCTTTCTCGTGCTCTGCCATCCTGAGCAGACAGCCACTCTGCTTCCTCCTGAGCTGCTTGGCATTCAAAGCTATCAGCCTGAGGTTTCGTAGGCTCCTCTGAGGATCCGGCTTCAAAAGATCACCGCGCAAAGCACATTTATGGAACCAAGTAAAGATGGCCGTCAGGTGGTGGTCAATTCTGTTGGCTAATTCTTCAAAAAAAAAAAACAAAAGCAAACAATAACAACAAGAAAACCAAAGGGCTGAGCTCTAAGCTGAAGAGAATTGAGTGTGTGCATTGTTAAAGCACAGGGTGGCAGCTGACAGATACAGCTAATATGGACTAGCATGTAATACATGCCATCACATGCATTCTCTGGAATTCGCGAGCTCTGTAAACGTGTTTCCCCACTGTTTTAAAAACAAAGAGTGGCTTCTGGGAAGGCTCAGTCCATCCATATTCTCAAGAGAGTAGCCTGTTCCAAAATATTTAATCCCAAGGGATTTAATAATGATCTTATAAAAACAGACAGAATTGTAATGAGATGCCTCACACATTTTTGGCACAATTATTACTGTCTTTTTTTTTTTTACCTTTACACATTACAAATACACATTCAGATAGTTTTTAAAAGAAAAATAGACACCGGCCTGTCTTTTCAATCACACTGTACACTGTTGAGTTTGCATGATCCGTCTCTAGGTGAAAACGAGCTTCTAAAATGTGGTTACTGGTGCTACTGCAACAGAACTGACACACTGATCTCCTGGAAAACCAAAACCAAAACCAAACCCCACACCTCTTCCATCACTCCAATAGCCAATAAGAATTCCTGAGCCATGACCTGGCAGGTTTTACAAAGAGGGATTAGAGTAAAGATTTTGATGTGTTTTCAGTCTTACAAAAGGCAAATGTTCCATTTCACATAACCATAGTGTGCTCTCAAATCAAATATCATTCATAGAATTTTGTCATTCTGGATGATTCCAGGGTTAGGGTTAGGATAAGCATCTAATAGGAAAAAAAAATGTGCATTATTTGTGTTGTCTTTCTCCAAATGTGACCTGGAACACTGCTCTGATTCCTTCATAAAATGGGGTGCAGCCCTTAGTTCACTCTTACTGCATACCACGAATGCACACCTTCAGGAGCCCCTATGCAGTATTCTCTGTGGACAGAAGGAAACTGTTCCAGCCTCAGACCCTCAAGATTGAGCTCCTGTGTTGGGGAGGGGGTGTGTGGACCTGAAGCCAACTTCCCTATCTTGCTTTTGTTCTTTCCAAAACAGCTCCCAAAATATGGATGCCCAGCCCTTCCCCACCTAGAGTGGCAGCCAGAAGGGTGTTTTCTTGCTTTAAGAGGCAGAATTAAACAATTCTAGACAGCCTGGGATAGGACACCAAAAAAAAAAAATCCCCCAAAGTTACCCACTGAGCTGGTGAGCCTGTCTGAGCCATGGGGTCGCCACGTGGTCCCAGGGAGGTGAATCTGCCTCCACGTGTACTGGCCCTTCCGTGCACCCTCTGCCCCCTGACTTTTACAAAAGAACCTCCCCGACTGTCACACACTCAGCAGTCCCACGAGGCTGAGCAAAAGGACGCTAAGGAAGCCCATGCGAGCAGATGTGTGGCTATGACACCTGAAATTTCTCCCCTCCTTGTTGATGGTCATGTCAGATGATGCCCAGCCCGTTGTGGAGTGGCTGAGGTTCTACACGCCCCGTTCCTGTTCTTGTACCCCCCACAGTCAGCATTCATGCCACCGTGCAACCTCTAGACAGCTTCAGAGAGGAGAGGAGGGGCTTCCTCTCCTCAGACCATTCCTGGAATACTTGCATGCTCGTCTGTTTCTGATGGCAGCAGACCCACAGGTCTCCCCCTAGCTGGAAGGCGGAGGTGTGCCAGAACATGGGGAGAGAAACAGCTCACCCCTGGGGTTCAGAACATGCCATTTCCCCCTTCCCAGCCCAAACCCTTCTGACCCTAGGGACAAAGCTTTCTGCATCTCCCACGCCCACGGATTTGTCATCACAGCTCAAAGGTGACCTTGGCCAACAAGCACGTGGACTCCGCCCCCTGTAGCATCAGTGACCTGTCTTTTGTGGTTGAAGGAATCGCAAAGAAAAGAACATTTTCACCCCACTTTCCCTGCATGGCCACTTCTTCATCGGAGCATTTGGACTGCTCAGCATTAAAAGAAGACGTCTTCTCACCCAGCCAGCGTCCAGTGAGGCCGGGGTGCCAAGAGGGCGTATTTATGGAACGTGGGACCATGGCAGGTGGTGGTGTGGGAAGCGTGAGACCCTTGAGAAGCTCATAACCTTGGAAGAGAGGACACGGGATTTGTTTTGGAGCAGATCTCCAAGAGTGGGCTTAAGTACTCCGGTCAAATTCCAACCCAAGTTCATCCAACACACAATACCTTTCCAACCTGATCCCGGGACTTGTAAGAAACACACCACGGGCATGGGTTCCCAAGTTCATGCAGTCGGATGCTGCTGCACCCTTAGCATGGCATTGCCGATGGTAGAAACTCCATCTGGGGTTGTTTATTTTTGTAGCCGTTGCTGTTTGCCATTTGCAAGTCTTCCACCTGCCTTCAGAACTGAGGCTGTCGGACGAATCCGGCCCCAGCCTGAACACATCGAACCACACCTATTTCAATTTTTAAATATAATAAATACAGTGAAGAAAACAGCAAGTTCTTCAATCGAAAGTCCAGAGCAAAGAGAGCAGACGCTCTGGGGTTGCCATCGCATGGCACTTCATCTCTGGACACGCGTCTCGAGGAGGCTGTGGCTGAGTTCGTCTCTGTAAGGTCCCTTGGCGAGGGCAGCGGTCTTTAGATGGACACCTCATACTCTCTGGTTTCCTGCAGGAGAGACAAGCACAGGCTGGGTGAGCCTTTGCAGGACGGGGTGGGCTCCAGCCCTTCGTTGCCCCCTGCGGCCATGCCCTTGGCTGACTGCACTGTCCTGGAGCGGCCAGTTTTTCATTGCTATAAAGACGTACCTGACACAGGCTGTGACAGAGAGAAAAGAGGTCTATTTTGGCTTGTGGGTCAGCAGGTGCTAGTTTTAGGGACCTTCCTGGCTGCCCAGCGACCACAGCGAGAGACATGCTGTGTGTACATGTGTCTTTCTGCTCTTTCTCTCTCTTCTTATAAACCGCCCCACCAGCAGGGGGCTCCACCCCAATGACCCTATCTCACTCTACTCACCTCCCAGCGGCTTTGCCTCTGGCCACTGCAGCTGAGTTAAGCTCCCATCCTCAATGTTTCACCATGGGAGGCGCAACCAAACCCTATCCAAACCGTAGTTCCTTCCACCCTGACCACAACTCGCTTCTGCTGCCGGATTGCAAACAAATGGTGCATAACAGGTGCTTGGACTGTGCTTGTGTGCTCTGCTTGTCTCGTCCCATCCTTCTAACACCCGTGAGTAGGGCAGGCCCCACTGGCCTTGGGTCACCAGGGGGAGGATGGATGACATAGGGGACAGAGTTGCATTCCCTGGACCAAAGTCAACCCAGCATCACCATCTGGCCGAAACCAGTTCCACACACTCGTCATGGCCTGATGGACACACTCCCATTGCCACTCAGATCTGGGGTTGTTACTCAGCTCCAGGTAACCGACAGACCCTACTAAGAAGCATGCACAAAACCTAGTCTCTAAATGCTATATATATATATATATATGTATTTTTTTTCATCAGCATAGCCTTCTTTCAGGACCTGGAAGCAAGTTAAATGCAATGTAAGATAATGTAGGTCCTGCTATCGCAAGTTCTACTTGCAATGACTACTACACGGGGGTGGCAACTGGTCTAAACCAGTTTGATTTCGCCAATATTTAGGGAGTGTGCACAATGTGTTTCTGGCACCTGCGCGGAGGAGCAGGGCTGTGAGCTCAGCCCTGGAGGTGGTGACTGCCATGGGACTCAGGTTCCTGCTGGGCCCACGCGGGATGGGCGGCGACACATATGGCTCCTGGTTGACGGGAAGGAAGGTGGGTGGACTCTAGAGTGGTCCCCATTGTCCCCATCTCCTGGTGTTCATGCCCTTGGGACTGGATCCATCCTTCCTTCCTTCCTTCCTTCCTTCCTTCCTTCCTTCCTTCATTTCTTTATTTCTTTATTTCTCTTTCTTTTAAAGATTTACCAACTTATTTGAAAGGCAGAGTTACAGAGAGAGAGAGAGAGAGAGAAAGAAAGGTCTTCCATCTGCTGGTTCACTCCCCAATTGGCCACAATGGCTAGAGCTGTGCTGATCTGAAGCCAGGAGCCAGGAGCTTATTCTAGGTCTCCCACATGGGTGCAGGGGCCCAAGGACTTGGGCCATCTTCTACTGCTTTCCCAGGCCATCAGTAGGGAGCTGGATCAAAAGTGGAGCGGCCAGGACTCGAACCAGCTCCCATATCGGATGTGGCGCTGCAGGCGGTGGCTTTACCCACTATGCCACAGCGCCAGCCCCAGGGTTTGATTCTAACCAACAGAATGCAAAGGCACTGGGCAGTGGCCTTGCCTCTGTATTGACATTGCACAGGACTGTGACTTCCTCCTTTCAAAAAGACCCTCCTGGTAGGTTTGCGAAAGTAAGCTGCCCTACGTGTGGGGAGCAACTCGGACTAGACTGAGTTACTGGAATTAAGACTTATTCTATGCATCTGCTCTCCCACAATATGGTGCTGGGAGAGGAGAAAACAGCTTCTACGCAGCTGCCTCTTGCCAGCTTGAGTGATGACCTCCAGGAGCTGATCCTGCTCCTGATTGGAGGAGAGCAGCGTACTCGGCGTGTGGGCAGCCGAGTTGGGATTGGCGGAGGAGGACTATAAAGGAGGAGAGAGATGGCATGCACCGGGAACATCTAAGAGGAACATCTATGTGAAGGAACACCTGTGCAGCCCCCGAGAGAGCCGGCTGGCGGTGTGCCGCTCCCCCGCGGAAGTGGGGAAAAGTGGCAGGGGGAACCGCCCTTCCACGGAGGTGGAAGGGTCAGTAGCCAACCCGGGAAGAAACAGCAGCAAACCCGGAAGGGCCGAGCAGACGAAAGAACAGCGCAGGGTCCTGTGTCGTTCCTCCACGAAGAGGGGGAGCGACACTACGGAACCCCCTACGGAAAGCAACGGCCTCTGGAAGACAGTCTGCAAGAAACTGAAGCCACACATGTCGAGGAATGGGGTGCTGTCAGCACCCATGTGAGCTTGGAGGTAGATCCTTCCCTGGTGCAGCCGTAAGTGAGGGTAGGGGGCCAGCACTGTGGCATAGCCAGTGAAGCTGCCGCTTGAGGTGCCAGCATCCCTTATGGGCACCAGTTCGAGTCCCGGCTGCTCCACTTCCATGTGAGAGACCCAGAAGGAGCTCTGGCTCCTGGTTTCAGCCTAGCTGGCCCAACCACATGGCCATTCTGTTAGGTCACTTCCCAAATGGCCACAACAGCTGGAGCTGCGCCAATACAAAGCCAGGAGCCAGGAGCCAGGAGCTTCTTTCTGTTTTCCCATGTGGGTGCAGGGGCCCAAGCACTTGGACCGTCTTCTGCTGCTTTCCCAGGTGCATTAGCAGGAGGCTGGATTGGAAGTGGAGCAGCTGGGACACGAACCACTGCCCATATGGGATGCCGGCACTGCAGGCGGTGGCTTAACCTACTACTCCACAGCACCGGCCCCATAACTCTGCCTTTCAAATAAATAAATAAATCTTAAAAAAAAGTTGATGGAAAATGCGTTTTTTTAAAAGAAGAGAGTATAGCCCCAACTGCTGCTTCATAACAGAGGACCCAGCTAAGCTGTGCCTGGTTTCCCAGCTCGTAGAAAGTCTGGGATAATAAGAATGTGTTGGGGCTGGAACTGTGGCATAGTGGGTTAACACCGTGGTCTGAAGCGCTGGCATTCCATATGGGTGCCAGTTCAAGACCCAGCTGCTCCACTTTCTGTTCAGCTCTCTGCTATGGCCTGGGAAAGCAGTAGAAGATGGACCAAGTCCTTGGGCCCCTGTACCCACGTGGGAAACCTGGAAGAAGCTCCTGGCTCCTGGCTCCTGGCTCCTGGCTTCAGATCCAGCCATTGTGGCCAACTGAGGAGTGAACTATCGGATAGAAGACCCTCCCCCCTCCCGCCCGCCTCTTCTCTCTCTGTGTACTTCTTTCAAATAAATAAATAGGTAAATAAATCTTTTAAAAAAAAGAGTGTATTGTTTTAGGGTCCTAGATAATATCATTATACATCAATAAAGAACCAACACAGGCGCTTTGAGGTGTGAGTGAGGGAAAAGTTTCAGGGACAAGGAACAAGTCAAGTTTACGCCACCACAAACATTGGGAGATGGTGGCAGGTCAGTCATCCTACAGGGAATGAATTGGAAGGGCTGTGGTTTGCAGTCATTACCAGCCCTTCACATGCGCCTCTGGGCCTTTGCACATGCTCTCCTTGTTACGAGGTGTCTTCTGAAGTCTACCTTCTGCCTCTGCATTCCACCGACCCTCCATGTCTCAGCTTTATGGTCGTTTTCTCAAAAATATCGGGGCCGGCGTTGTAGCACAGCAGGTAAAACTGCCGTCTGTGATGCTGGCATCCCATTTGGGTGCCGGTCCGAGTCCCAGTTGCTCCATTTCCTATCCAGCTTCCTGTTAATGCGCTTGGGAAAGCAGCAGAGGATGGCCCAAGTCCCTGGGCCCCTGCACCCGCGTGGGAGACCCAGAAAAGGCTCCAGGCTCCTTGGCTTCAGACTGGCCCAGCTCTGGCTGTTGGGGCCATTTGGGGAGTGAACCAGCGGATGGAAGAGCGCTCTTCTCTCTCTCTCTCTCTCTCTCTCTCTCTCTCTCTCTCTCTGCTTTCAAACACATAAAATAAATCTTAGAAGCGTGTTCCCCATCACACACTCTCATACCACCCTGTCCAGTTTTCATCCCAGTCCTTAACATGATGAGTCATCGTCATGGAAACGCCCATGGGCGTGTTGACAGGGGGAGGCGGGACAGCGCAATGTGCCAGAGCATTGGGTGGAGCTTGTGCCTTGGCTCCCGGCTGCGCATCCCGGCTCTGCACAACCTCAACCAAATCAGTTTTTCCTCTCTCAGATCAGGACCTCCACGTTGGCCAATCCGAGGCAGCAGCTTGCAAAGACTCAAGGAGCTGGTGCGTTTGAAGTGCGTGGTGGGGCGGGGCGGCTGTTGATGTTACTACGCCCGCTCTCTGCCTCCTGTGCCACGCCGTGAGCTCATTCGTGGCTGCACGGGTCTGGTTCACGTCTGCACGGGGCCCGGATCCCAAACATGCAGGGGTGCTGCCATTCAGTAAGGAGCCGCACACAGTAAGATGTGCACCAGGCGGGGCTGGAACGCGTCTCCCCAGATGTCAGCTGCTGCAAACTCAATGCCCCAAGACCAGTGCTACTGGTGATTGGAGGAGGGGACTTTGGGAGGTGATCAGGGTTAGATGAGGTCACGGGAAGCCCCTGGTTGGTGCCCGTTAGTGCCATGGGATGCTCACTGCTGTGTCTGGATGCAGCGAGAGGGCCCTCACCGGTGCCAACACCCTGCTATGGGATTTCCCAGGCTTCAGAACCGTGAGCCACGTGCACCGTGTTCTTTGTGAGTTACCTGTCTCAGGCATTTTGACCCAGTGACAGAACAGGGATGGAGACAGTAGGGATGCCGGGCACTGCCACCAGGCCACTGTGGGCCTCACACACCTGGACCCTTTCTCTGAGGGTCCTGGGAACAGGAGCTGGCTCCTCCCTGCCATGATCCCTGTAGGGGCCCTGGGCGGGGCAGGGAGGCGAGACAGGATCGGGGCTGGTGTCCTCTGTGGATGTCATTGCCCCTGCACAAGAGGAAGGCCCCTCCCTTTTCGCTGTGAGTGGATTCAGAGCCACGAGGGGCGGAGGAGGAGAGGAGAGAGGCCGGCTCACCCCCGTCTCGTAAATGGGGTTGTCGAACTCCGTCTCCACGGTGATCTGGCTATAGGGGTGGGAGTACACCAGCGGCAGGCGCAGGCTGGAGTAGTAGCGGCATCTGCAGAGGAAACAAGAGGGAGGCGGTGTCACTTCTCTCCTTCGAGGGCGCGAACGACAACGTTGAGGGCGGCCGCTGGTGCCACCTCCTGCGAGCAGCAGCGAGGGTGGGGCATGCTACACAGGACTGGGACCCAGGTGATGGCCAACGAAAGCCTGGCTGCCTCCTCCTTTTACGGAGGAGGTGGAACTTCATTTGTTCTTGCTTGTAAGGTGATCCAGGCCCTCCCTCAATGCAACAACGGGCATTTATTGAGCACCTACTGTATGCCGTGTCACCTTCAAGCAGCCTTCCTTGAGCACTTGCTGAATGGTGGCTCCTGGGTCCCTCGAGGTGCCCCTTCTTTCCTTACCCTTGTTAATCTTAGTGGGCTGTGGTTGATTTGAGCACTTACTCTCCCCTACCTCCCATCCCCTCACCCCGAGTGTGAGCTCCTACACGGCGGGGCGACTGCCTCAGGACCTTTGCACGTGCTGCTGCCCTGCCTGCCGCCCTCCTCTCCCATACACGTGCACGGTATACTCATGAACACTTTCAAGTTCCTGTTCAGACGACATTCCTCAGTGCCCCCCACCCGCCACGTACCTCATTTAAAATGCAATCGCCCCTCTGTTCTAGAGCTCCTGTCTCTTCCCAGTCTCCTGTCTCTTGAATTTGTCACCTCCTAACATACTACGCCTTTCCTTCTATACTTTGCTTATCATCCGTCTTCCCCCACTTGAACCCGAGTCCCGTGTGGCCAAGGGTTTCCTTCTGCTTTGTTCACTGTGACCAACCTCGGGCCCACCACAGCGCTTGAGACTGGGGATGAAGCAGTGAAGTTCTGGGCATAGCGTAGCATCTCCCCTCTTTACCCAAGGCAGCCTCTATGCCTCCAGCGCCTGGGACAATGCCTGGCACGCATGAGACTGTCGGTCCCCATTTGTTGAGTGATTGAATGAGTGAACGGAGGGATGGAGGTGTCAGAGCCCCTGGCCATGTCTGTGCCCCCATTGGACCCCAAGCCCTGTGAGCTCAGCCCCCTCCCCAGAGGCAGGGCGGGTGCCCGGATCCATGTTTGTCCCTGTGATTGGGTTCCATCCATGTTTGTCCCTGTGAATGGGTTCCATCACACCATCTCTGCAATCATGTGAGTGCCAAAGAGAAGGGTAAAATTCCCAGGTGTCCTAAATTGAATTCCAGGGACCTGGGGCAGGGCCAGCGGGAGGCTCACCCATTGACAAATCACAGCACCAGTTTGCATCGCTGAACCGACGTTACAGCCGTTACTGGCACCGCACCCTGGCCCCTGGCAGCACCGCCTCCATCCCATCCAGGAGCTGCAGCCGCTTGTCCTGGTGGACAGCCCTCCTGCCTCAGTTTCCCCAGCTCCGCACACTCCCACCTCTCTCATCTGTAGCCAACGCAGGCTGAGTGTGAACAATTAAAGCCTTCCTGTCCCAAATGCTTGTTAGACGGCCATGCTCTGAGCTCTGGTATTTTTTCAGTAGCTCCCTAGCCTTGCTGCTGGTTGCTATGGGAACTTGGTCCAGGCCCCGTCTTTCGGGCTAGCGTCTGTCACAGCTCAATAAACCCTTTTATGCCAGATCTCTTGGTCCCAAGCATTTTCTGGTTGAACATCACTGTCCCCACACTCTAGGCAGAGACCTTGAGGCTCTGAGAGGTGACCCGCTGGTGGGGGAGTGAGAGAGGGAGCCACAGGCCCATCTCCTCCCAGCTTCCTACCTTGTGATGTAAATGTAGGCTCCTCCCAGCAGTAAAGAGATGATGAGAACCGGGATGAAGATAGCCAGGGCCATGTCTCCGCCTTCCAGCGACGACTCCGCTGCCGCTTCTGCTACTGAACACACAAGCCGGTGAGGCCTTCATTCTGCATCCACTCGGTGCACACAGCTTCCCATCTCTCAGGTTGGCACCTGCCTTCCCAGCTTTGCGCCTGCTCCAAGAGCCGGCATCACACAGCCTGGGGTAGTGGAGGATTGTGCCCAAGGGAAGAGGTGGCAGAGACCAGAATGGAAACGGCAGCTGCGGCCCTCTAAGAGGGGTCCCAGGGTCCCCCTTAGGTAGGACGGCCTCAGGGGATGACATTCTTTGTGTCTTGACCATAACCATGCTCATTATGAGCAGCGGAAGTTTGGGGATTTATCCACTCAATCCAAGGGAAAGCTTGGGGAGAACCCCAAATCCAGTAGCTGGGAAGGGGGACTCATTGGACATATCACGAAGTAGAGAGAAGTAGGGATGCACCTGCTCCCAAGATCCTGTCCATGAGCCGCCAGGCTGCTAAGCTGGGTTCCCAAACCTCACTGCTTCCCTGCCCCCAGGGACAGTGGGCAGCCTCTCTCAGATCTGCTCGGTCAGATTCCAGTCCAGGAATGGGCTCTGAGCAGCCGGGACGGCTCTCAGTCCTGCACAGCCTGAGGCTACCCCAACTGTTGCTTCTTGGAGGCCCCATTCTCAGGCAGCCCTGTGGGTCTCACTGGAGGCTCTGGCTGAACCTTGGTGGCAGCCGGGAGAAGTGTGGTTGGTAGGTGTTGTGGGGGCCACAGATGCTTCCCCCGAGGGGCTTGAAGGAGATGTAACACCTCTTCTAGAAATTTGGTGGGGGGTGGGGTGGGGGGCTCTGACAGCGCCATGGTCCTGTCCAACATAGCTCAGCTGTGCTCCCATCTATGGGGTCTGAAAAACCCACCCTGATGCCTGGGATGAAAGCCTGTGCACACAGCATCGCCATGGAGCCCCCGAGCTCTGAGCGACCCCTCACAGTGCAGGCGAGCAGCTTTGTCCCGAGCTGACACAGCGTGTCCAACCCTTTACATATGGGAAGCCACAGGAAGGGACACAGGACCATGAAACACATACAGAACTCGAGATAAGATCCTGGGTAGCTTCCTGACACCCGTTCCATATTCGCCAACCTTGCTCAATAAAGGAAGTAGAAACAGGTGGTAGGAGAGACGAGGGGCCGAGTTGGGGGACGGGCGAGGAAGACCTGGAGGGAGACCATGCCATCGGACGCTCCCTGGGCCACGGCAGGTCGCGGGGACGCGGCGCCGCTGGATCCCGTGGCCCGGAACTGCGTGATGTGCAAGGGTGGTGGACGCCCAGCTTTTCTCAACTCCTTGTCCTCAACTATGGACCCGGCATCTAAATTCCGCTCAGAGTCTATGGGGGGGACCATTTGCCGCCAATCCCGTCTCTGTTTTCTTGACAATACCATTTGTTTGGAAATTATCTTTGACAGTGAGAAGGCAGAGGTTTTTTTTTTTTTTTTTTTTTTTTTTTTTTAAAGCACCGGAATAAAGATACTCAAGGACATGCCCTCGTTTTCTGCGATTAGATGGACTTATCATTATTAATTATTATTATTCTTTTCCGTTCCAGCACTCACCTTCCAAAGCATGTTCAAAGCTGTCTTGATTGACTGTAGGAGAAAGCAGGGGTCACTGGTTAGCGTCAAATGAATTCACTCCCCTCCACCCCACTGCAGGAAACAAAGCCAAAAGAGTTCACTGCAAAAGCCTAGCCCATGCTTGGCTGTTTTGATTTTACCTAGTCTGGGCTGCCTGCATAGACTCGCTTCTTGGGTTCCCCAGGGAAGATGAGGTGGATCAGAAAGTAACAAGAGCAGTAACAGTAACAGTCATCAACCCTCCCCAGGCAACTGACTCTGTCACCAGCTTCAGCCCTGCCACGTGTGGCTGGCGAGGCTCCAGGCTTACGCAAAACTCAGCCACAGTGGCGGCTAAACGCCACTGCTCGCCAGTGCACCCGCCACTCAGGGCTGTCACCATGTAGGACTTCCCTGCTGGACGACGGTGCAGAAGCGGCCGGGGGGAACCACGCTGCCAGTTTTGAATTTGGATCCTTTCCTGGGCCAGCAGCACATGGAGGGGCCTGATGTTCCCCCGCGGTGCTGGAGGGTGGCAGCTCCCCGGCTGGCCCCCTTGTGGCCACGCGGGGAAGCCACGGACACGTTGCCCTCCGCTGTGTCCCCGTGGCGGGGGCTTGCGAGGTGGGCTGTGAACACAGGCTGCACCTGCCACTTGCAGTATTTTTGGTTCATGGTGAGTTTGGCAGGAAGGAGCCCCAGTGTCAGCCAAGAGCCATCTGTGCCTGTTTGTGGAAACCTTTCCGATTTCATTTTCTTCTACATATATCCGGCCAGCATTTGTAAAGTCCATGGAAAACTAATTTTTCTATTTCTTGTAAAACTTGGAAGTTCAAGAGGAGGGGGGCTACTTTTCCATCATTGTCATTGTGGCACTTAGATATATATTAACAAGCACAGGGGTCCGTCACAGGTTACAAAACCCTATCATGGACGTGGGGTCAGTGTGGTGGTGAAGCTGCCCATGGGGATGCCTGCATCCCGGGTCACAGTGCCCAAGTTCAAGTCCCAGCTCTGCTCCTGACTCCAGCTTCCTGCCAGTGCACACCCTGGGAGGAAGCTGGGATGGCTCAAGTCCTTGGGTCCCTGCCGCCCATGTGGGAGACCTGGATGGAGCTCCTAGCTCCAGCTTGTGCTGTTGCTGGCATTGGGGGAGTGACCCAGTGGTAAGATCTCTCTCTTTCTCTCCTCTCTCTCTCTCTCTCTCTCTCTCTGAAAAACCCCTGCTAATCTTCTCCCCCAAAGACATTTACACCCACCACCAACCACTTCCATTAAAGCCCACCTGCCCAAAGCTTTTCAGGAAACCTCAACTCAGGAAAACGTCTGTGTGCGTCACAGAGCAGGTTTCCATGCTACCAAAAGTGAATTCGCACATGAGGTGTGGACGGTACTGGGAGGGGCGTTTGGGAAGTGGCAGGGGTTAGGTGAGGCCTGAGGGTGGGCCCTGTAAGAGGAGGGGGAGAGCAGGTCGGGTGGGGGATGCCCCATGCTGGCTTTTGACACAGCAGAAGCTGGCCCAATGCCTGGACGTCCCAGCCCCCAGAACCAATGACGATTTACTGTTGATAAGTTGCCCAATCTCAAGTAGTTTTTAAAATGATTGGCTTTTGGATTTTTAAAAGATGTATGTATTTATTTGAAAGGCGGAGAGAGAGAGAGAGAGAGAGAGAGAGAGAGAGAGAGAGGTCTCCCATCCACTGGTTCACTCCCCAAATGGCTGCAACAGCCAGGGCTGGGTCAGGCTGAAGCCAGGAGCCCGGCACTCCATCCAAGTCTCCCACATGGGTGCAGGGGCCCAAGCACTTGGGTCATCTTCCACTGCCTTCCCAGGCACACTCGCAGGGAGCTGACTCAGAAGTGGAGCAGCCAGGACTCGAACAGGCGCTCCAACAGGGGATGCCAGTGTGGCACACGCTGCCCTGGGAGTCTCTTTACAGCAACAGAAAATGCGCCAGGGCAGACAGAGCCTGCCACAGTTTGCGAAGGCGCTGGCTGCACACCTCGAGCGCCTGTCCTGGGGGCGTGGTTTGAAGAGGGCGTGGAGATGAGGGGCGGGGCCTGGCGGGATGGGCGGCGGGGGCGGGGCCTTCGGGCACTTCGAGGGCTCCCGCTCCCTGGACAGGAATCTCCCCCTCCCCCACCGCGAGCAGGTGCGGCGGGGACCCCGAGTGCTGCCTGGCTTGCCCGTCACCCCACTTAGCATGTGAAAAACCCAGGGTGGGCTGCCTGATCTGGGCCTGGAACCCCTAAGCCGGTGCGCTGGCACCCGCCTATGTATGTGAGCTGGATTTTCTCCGGTGTCTCCTCTCCTCCCCCTCCCCCTCCCCGCAGGGATCCCAGCGAGCAGCCCCCATCCTCCCTCTCCCCCCGGGACCCCGGGTCACCGGTCCCTCGCTCTACCTTTGCACACGGGCAGCGGCCCGTTCCAGTGCGACGGCTGGCCCAGGATGCAGCGGATGGTCACCTCGCCCGTCAGCTCGAAGCCCTCGTAGCACATGAAGGTGAGCGACTCCCCCGGCAGGTACAGGCGCTTGTACAGGATCTGGTAGCCGTTTTCCGGTAACCCTGGGTTGTCACAGGCCAGAGACTCCTCGGCTGGAAGGCAAGGCGACTGCATGAGACCAGGCACGCTGTGGGGGGGGCGTCTCTCCAGAGCCTGGCCTCCCCGCCCCCTTCCCCACACCCCCGCCCCGTGTGGAGCCCTGCCCCTCCCCCTGCACCTGGATACAGATTTCAGCACCAGGCTGTAGAACCTGGCTGCTACTGCTTATCAGCCGTGTGACCCCCAGCAAGCAGCACACCCTCTCTGATCTCAGCCGAACGAGAACAAGGGTCCATGCTGCATAGGGATTTCAGGGGCCGACTCGGACCATGGCAGCAACGCGCGCGCAATGCTCTCGGCACGAGGGCTGCTGGTGGTGTTGAACTGTGAAAGCCTCCTCTTGTTCCTCATCTTACACCTGCCCTACCCGTCCCGTGAGGCCAGGTCTTGTCTTTCAATCCTCATTTTTCCCCCTTCTCCTCCAGGAAGCCTCCTGTGATGCCTCCTACCACCACCGGAGTCACCAGGATCTTCAGTTCTCCCTCCGCCCAAGCTCGGCACGCACAGTAGGGGAATCCAGTTGCTTAGCAAGGATTTCCCTCCCTGGAGATAAGCCTGTGAACTTCAACTCCAGGCTCAGGGTCTGTAACCCAGTGGGAGTGCAGTAAGTGGCCACACTGCCCTCTTGTGGCTGCTCTGCTCAACTGCTGACCAACGTTCCAGGTAACCCAAGGAGGGTTGCACCTGGGGGCTCACGCAGCCCTTCCAGGCCCTCTTCTCTGGCCGTGTTCTTTTTTAGCTTCCGGGTGGACTGGGCTGCCAGCTTTGCACACAGACTGCAAATCCTAAACCATTTACAAAGATTTATGATTTAAACACTATTGAGGGGCAGGTGTTCGGCGTCGCCACGAGGAGGCCACTGGGTGGCGCTGTTGCCTCCCTTGGTGCTTTTCTCTCCGGTGCTGGAGTGTGAGGGAGGGGCCCCTAGACAGCCCTGAGGTCCCCCTGCGGCGTGGGAGTCCCCCTCTTGGGGCGCACGGGCACAACCTGTGACTTGCTTTCATCCAACAGGATGTGGACTCCCATGCCACTTCTGTCTGGCTGCACTTGAGCTTGGGTGGAAGAATTGGCCACGCCGTGAGTGGCCTTGGAGAAAAGCCCACGCGACCAAGAGACAGAGGGTGACCGCTCGGTGACAACAGCTTCTAAGGGACCAGATCCTGTGAGCAAACCACGTGAGCGTGGAGGGGGACCCTCCCCCGGCTGTGCCTTTGGCCGATACCCCAGCCCCAGGGTCTGTCGTGGGAGAAACCAGAGGACCCCGTGCAGCCGTGCCCAGCCCCCAGCCCCGCAGAGGCTCAGAGACAACACACGTGCGTTGGCTGGCGTGTCTTGTTGTGCCCGGTGAGTACCAGAACCCCCCCCACTCCAGATCTGCCTCCGTGCGTGGGCGTCCTCTGTCCAGGAACCTGCACATACCTCCCCAGAGCTGTTTCTGGCACTGTTCGGTTGCACGTGGGTGGGAGCCGGCAGTGCAGAGAACAGCTCTGACCCTGGTCCCCCGGGAGCCCTGAGAGGTGGCGCGTGGAACCTTTCCCTTGGGGCCTGGGGCCCAAGCAGAACCCTGCAGGTTGCACAACGCGGATGGGAAGCAGCGGCTGAGCCAACACACAGCAGGTGCCTCCTGTTGTCCCAGGTGAGCCGCTTCTTCGGAGTCGCCGGCAGGTGGGGCAGTGCTGGTCCTGCCCCCTCACAGGACCTTGGTCGGTTGGAGCTGTTCCGCAAAGCCCAGATAGGGGCGTCGTTTTGGCCACAGTCTCTGCCACTCCCTATTGCTTTACACAGAGTCTCTGTGGGGATTGGTTCCAGGGCACCCTGCGGGTACCAGAATCCACAGCTGCTCGAGTCCCTGTCAGCTGGGGTTGTCTCTGCACAGGACCTGTGCGGATCTCGCATACACGTTGCTGTCCCCAACACAAGGCAAACGCTCTGTGCACAGCCGTATGTCTAGGGACTGACGACAAGAAAAGAGCTGTGCACACGTTCTGCCGGGATGCATTTTTCAAGCGAATGTGTTTTTGTTTATTTGAAAGGTGGAGTGACACAGAGACACAGGAGGAGAGAGAAAGATTTTCCAACTGCGGGTTCACTCCCCAAATGGCTGCAGTGGCCAGAACTGGGCCGGGCTGGAGCCAGGAGCCTGGAGCTCCACCCAGGTCTCCCACATGGGTGGCAGGGACTGCAGCACTTGGGCCGCCCCTGCTGCCTCCCAGGTACATGAGCAGGGAGCTGGATTGGAAGTGGAACAGCCAGATCTTGAACTGGTGCTCTGATATGGGATGCCGGTGCTGCAGGCTGTGGCTTAACCCGCTGTGCCACAGGCCCTCGCTTTTTCTCATTTTCTTTGCCAAGCCAAGCCAAGCGAGCCCTCAGCCGGGACACTGTCGGAAGCTTGCTGGCAACTCCAGGGGCGCCCGGGGTTCTCTTCCGGCAGGCAGCGCCATGCACTGCACTCACAGTTTACGAACTCCGAGTCCAGAACTCGCTGCCTCGGCTTCACCTCCTGTGCTGTGGGATTGCTTTGCACCTGCTGGGCCGGGAGCTGGGCGTGCAGGAGCACATCAGAGAAGTGCATTTTCTCCAAGGAGAGAGGAGAATGCCCCGGTTGTGGCCATCCGTGTCCTAACAGCTGTGCTGGGCACGAAGGAGAAACCTCCTTCTCCTCCCCCTGCGGTGGACGCGGCTTGGTCTTCCAAGGTAAGTCTCAAACGCATCACCTGCAGTGCTAACTGTTGACCAGCAGGTGGCAGTGGTAACTCAAAAGGCTTTCCCCAGGATCTCCAGGGATTGCCAGTGTCATGAACACTGAAGGTATTTACCGAGTACCTCGGGTGTGTACACTGATGAGCCAGGTAGACAAGGTCCCTGCCTACCATCTGTTCAGGTGCGTATTCCACAACTATCTCCTGTGTGCCCACGGGTGCCAGGCACGCTGGCGCCCCCTGGGGCTGGGGGAGAGCAGGTGCAAGAGAGACAAATGATCAGAGCTGCCGCAGGGGCAGGAAGTGGGGGGGGGCGCGGGGAGCCTTTCCCTCTGTCCTCAGCACGGGCTGAGTCCCACAACCACCCACGCCCTCCAGCTCCCTGGCACCGCCCCCTCATGCATTTTAAGTTAATTATCCCCCAGTGTGTTCTTCTTGGAAGCCCCCAGGCGATTCTAAAGTTCAGCTGGGGCCGGCGCCTCGGCTCAATAGGCTAATCCTCCGCCTAGCGGCGCCGGCACACCGGGTTCTAGTCCCGGTCGGGGCGCCGGATTCTGTCCCGGTTGCCCCTCTTCCAGGCCAGCTCTCTGCTGTGGCCAGGGAGTGCAGTGGAGGATGGCCCAAGTGCTTGGGCCCTGCACCCCACGGGAGACCAGGAGAAGCACCTGGCTCCTGGCTTTGGATCAGCGCGCTGAGCAGGCCGCAGCATGCCAGCTGCGGCGGCCATTGGAGGGTGAACCAATGGCAAAAAGAAGACCTTTCTCTCTGTCTCTCTCTCACTGTCCACTCTGCCTGTCAAAAACAAAACTAAAGTTCAGCTGGGTCTCAGAGCCACTGCTTCGCTGTCTCGACATGGTTAATACACTAATCCATCACTTAATGAGTTCATTTCTAAAATATTTAAACATCCATCCTGTGTGAGATGATCTGCATGTATTATTTCTAATCCTGCCCCAAAGCCTTAACGGAAGGCACCGCCGTGGCAAAAATACCCAGCATGTGCCGCGTGCGTCCTGTGCTCCAGACTCTGTTCTGGAATTCTGTAGCTGGAACTTGGCCAATAATCGCGGCTTCAAGACACTGACATTATCATTGTCTACATTTTTTTTTTTAAATAAAAAGATTTGTTTATTTAGGGGCTGGCACTGTGGTGTAGTGGCTAAAGCTGCCGCCTGCGGTGCCGGCATCCCACATGGGCGCCGGTTCGAGTCCTGGCTGCTCCACCCCACACCGTCCCGGTGAGCGAGTGCTGTGCCTGATCCTCTGAAGACAGAAGTGGCAGCAGGTGCTGTGATATGTGGAACAGCAGGTGCAGGGGCAGGTCTGAGGCAGGAACCAGGAGCCATCGAGGGAGTCAGAGTGGACTTCCTGGAGGAAGTGTTGCTGCAGGCTGTGGTTATGTCCCTTCTAGACCTGCCTCTCCTCCCCCCATTGCCAGCAGACCCCGGGGGTCCCGACAGCGTGGATCGCACCTGTTCAGACACTGCTGAGTTTCCAGGGGATAGCACCGCAGGCCCCAAGCTGTGTGCCAAGACCCCCCAGGGCGCCACCGTGAACATGCAGGTGTGCAGTGGGAGCCTCTAAAGCTGCGAGGAAACGCGGTGACGTCGGCAGGGCTCTCGCGGACGGCGGCTCTGGGCCACCTGGAACAGGAGGTGGGGAGCTGCCGTCCCCGCTGGGCCCCGCGTTTGCGATTTGTCCGGCCCAGGCGGTGCACATGTGCGTTCTTCGAGAACGAAAGGAAAATATTTTTCTTTCCATTTGCAGGCGTGGATTTTTCAAAAGGCAGCCGCCTTGTCCAGATGTCGTGATTTATTAAGTTGTTTGAGAGAGGCGACTGTGAGGTACTTGGGTTTAGAAATCCGAAACTTCCTGAGACTCCAAGGGTGCGTGAGTCGGTAGGTGTGGAAATGTCCGTGCTTGTTGAATGGAGAAGTGAGGGGCTCCCAACGACTCTGACTGGTGGAGAACAGGCTTCTTTCTCACTGACGAGCCCCAGAGAGGGCAAGCTACTCGGCCATGGTTGCCCAGCAAAGCCATGGCATCTGACCGCAAATCCCAGACTTGTCCCCCTCCTATGCCTGGCTCATCTGTTCCTTTTTTTTTGTTTTTAAAGATTTATTTATTTGTTTGAAAGGCAGAGTTATAGAGAGGCAGAGAGAGAGAGAGAGAGAGAGAGAGAGAGAGAGAGAGAGGTCTTTCATCTGCTGGTTCATTCCCCAAATGACCGCAAGGGCCAGAGCTGCGCCGATCTGCAGGAGCCAGGAGCTTCTTCCGGGTCTCCCATGTGGGTACAGGGGCCCGAGGACTTGGGCCATCTTCTGCTGCTTTCCCAGGCCACAGCAGAGAGCTGGATGGGAAGTGGAGCAGCCGGGACTTGAACCAGCACCCATATGGGATGCCGGCACCGCAGGTGGCGGCTTTGCCCGCTATGCCACAGCGCCGGCCCCGCTCCTCTGTTCTTGATGTGGCCTGGGGAGCAGAGACCAGCAGTGCAGAGACACGATTCCGAGTCCCAGCCAGACCCACCATGGCCTTGGGCCAGCGGCCGCACACAGAGGCGGGAACCGAGGAGGGTGTGATCAGTTTTAGCTCCTGCCTCACGGGCTTGTTGGTGGGAGATCTTTGTCAGCTATGAGCTTTGCAGAGAGGCCGGACTGCCGTGGGCTGCGGTGGGAAGACGCGGGTGGGTTTATCCAGGCTCGAGGTAGAATTCTGGGTTTTTCCTCTCTCTGCTAGGTGACGTCAGGGAAGCCACTCACCTTCTCTGGGCCACAGTTGCCATTTTAAAAGGGTTTATTTATTTATTTGAAAGGCAGAGAGAAAGAGAGAAAGAGAGAGAGAGAGAAAGAGAGAGAGAGAGTGCTTCCATCCACTGGCACACTTCCCAAATGGCTGCAACAACCAGGCTGGGCCAGGCTGAAGCTGGGAGCCGGGAGCTCCTTCCTGGTCTCCCATAGGGTGGCAGGGGCTCGTGCACTTGGGCCATCGCCTGCTAAGCCTTCCCAAGCGCGTGAGCAGGGAGCTGGAGCAGAAGCAGAGCAGCCGGGTCTCGAACCTGTGCTTGGACGTAGGATGCTGTTGGAAGCAGCAGCCTCACCCACCGTGCCACAGCCTCGGACCCCATAGTTCCTTTTCGAGTGGACATAAACACGCACTCACACAGTTTAGTGAGGGCTAAGCGTGTGGGCGCTGGGGAAGGGCTCGTCACGGCAAAGGCGCTCGGCAAATCAAGCTGCTGTCTCCCTGACAACCTCACCCTTAGCCAGAGCGTCAAGCCAGAGGGTGTCTAGCCTAGCGGTTAAGATGCCTGCACCCCACCCTGGAATACCTGGGTCTGAGTCCCCGCCCCAGCACCCGACTCCAGCCTCCTGCTAATATGCACCCCAACAGGCAGCAGTGATGGCTCAAGGAGTTGGGTCCCTGCTGTCCACAGGGGAGACCTGGGTTGAATTCCTGGCTCCTGGCTTCAGCCCGGTCCAGCCCTGGCTGTTGCGGGCATATGGGGGAATGAACCAGAGGATGGAAGCTCTCTCTGTCTCTTGTCATCTCGATTGAAAACCGAAGAAGGAAATATTCTCAGATTCCACACTACCCCCCTGCCGCTCAGATGCCGCCCTGATAGGATGCTGTCATCCCTTGGCCTGCCCTGGCAGCTGTCCCTGCCCCCCGCCTGGCCCGCCTGTCGCTGCTGCCGCATGCTGGCTCTTTATGGGGCTTCCGGGAGGTCCACACGTCTCCTGGCACCCGGCTCTGCCCGTGAACTCATTAGCGCGGGTGTCAGGGAAGCCATGTCAGCTCGGCCCAGCAGGTGTGGGGTGGGGCTTCCAGGGAAAGGAGGGCCCCTGTGGGAGGAGTGCGTGCTGCTCACTTCCCTCCTGAGTGCGGGGGCCGGGGTGGGTGGGTAGGGGGGTACTTTAGGGACACTGCTTCATTAGCATAGCACCTTGGCAGCCCCATCTCCTGGTATTTTTAAATAAAATTTATTTTAAGCGTATCATCTCTGGAGCCTGAGTTACTAAATGCGTTTCTGATTGCATTCATGGTGGCCAGAAGGAGTGGCAGCCGTACTTCCTAATGGTAGGCTTGGACCAAGGGACACGGGTTATCCCACAGTTCTGGGGGCCGGGCAGGGCTGTGGTCCCCACACAGCCTGCAGGGGAGCCCTCTCCCAGCCTCCTCCAGCCTCCTGCCCAGCTGAGGCTCTGTGGTCTGCCGCTGTCACCTCCTGTCACTGTCCCTGGATCTGGGTCTCCAGCCGCATCCCGATCGATCTCCCTCTCCTTATAAGGACACGCTGTGGCTTGAATACAAGTTGGTCCCGAAACTTGTGCAGAAGTTTAACCACGCCCTCCCCCACCCAAGTCTTCTGTTAATGGTCTTAAAAGCCAACCTCTTTCAATTAGGGTGTTTGGAGGTGGGGCCTCTGGGGACTGAATAAGATGAGCTCCGGTCAGTAGGGAGCAGCCCCCAGGTGGGAATCCTGGTGCACTTAGAAGGAGGCAGAGATACCACAGGCAGGGAGAGACACAGACGGACATGGGTGCTGCCGTCTCCTGCCCTGCCCTGGGCCCTGGGCCACCTCAGCCCCTGGCTGCGACAAGACCTCTACTGAAGGTCACACCAGTGGAGCCTGCCTGACGTTGTGCTGTGACCTCCAGGACTGGGGTCCGAAATAAGCCTCTTTGTCATTTGCATCGGATGCAGGTGAACGAGCAGCAAACTTACTAGGACTTTATTTTTTTCCTTTCCTTACCCAAAGTTAAATTCTTAGCTCTCCAGCAGAATCAAGACTCCATGCAGCTTCTGGAATTGAAGCCATTCCCCGTAAGGAGCTGTACAATGCACCGCTTAACACATCCGTGCAGCAGGCAGCTTGCACGCCCCAAGACTGTGCGAAGCTCTGTTCCTTCCGGGTAACCCCTACTTCCGCAAGGCACTTGCTGTGAACCTGGCCACAGAGAACCTGGGGAAGCTGTGAAAACGGCCTGGGTTTGCATCTGGTTTCCTCTGTTAGCCAGCTGCTCTGCTGCTAGCCAGCTGCTCCACTGCTAGCCAGCTGCTCCACTGTTGACCAGCTCTGGGACGCAGGGCATTGCTTTCGTCCCTCTGAGTGTTAGCAGCTTTATCTCAGTAGAAACCTTAACTCAACGCTCCCAGGGCTACTGAGGAACAAGGGAGGGACACTTGGCAGGGGACTTGGTGCAGTGCCCCGGAAACTTCCCATCAGTGTGCTAGAACAAGTCCCTGTAATGGTGATGAACACGATCCAAGCCCCGCCCTCTCGGACCCGCGCCTTCGTGCCATACTCCCCGCAGCACTCACAGACACAGTGGGGCAGGCGGGACGTCCAGATGGGGGTGCCCGTCTCGCGGCTGTAGCAGGTGAGCAGAGAGCTGCCTTCCAGCACAAAGCCGGGGTTGCAGGTGTACTGGATGGTGGTGCCCACCAGCAGCACGGGATCCGAAATCAGGCGGGTGGAGTGCTCCACCTCTCCGGGGTCACTGCAATACATGACTGTAGGGAGGCAATCAGAGCAAGACACGGAGTCAGACCACGACGTGGAGTCAGACACGACACAGAGTCAGACATGATGTGGAGTCAGACCACAACACGGAGTCAGGCACAACACAGAGTCAGACACGACATGGAGTCAGACCACGACATGACGTGGAATCAGACATGACATGAAGTCTGACATGACACAGAATCACACACAACATGGAGTCAGACCACGACACGGAGTCAGACATGACGTGGAGTCAGACCACGACACAGAGTCAGACCACGACACGGAGTCAGACATGACACGAAATCAGACCACGACATGACGTGGAATCAGACATGACATGAAGTCTGACATGACACAGAATAACACACAACACGGAGTCAGACCACGACACAGAGTCAGACCATGATGTGGAATCAGACACGACATGGAGTCAGACCACGACGTGGAATCAGACATGACACGGAATCAGACATGACATGGAGTTAGACCACAACATGACGTGGAATCAGATCACGACATGGAATCAGACACGACACGATGTGGAATCAGACATGACATGGAGTCAGACCATGACACGGAATCACACACAACACAGAGTCAGACCATGATGTGGAGTCAGACATGACACGGAGTCAGACATGACATGGAGTCACACACAACATGGAGTCAGACCATGACACGGAATCACACATGATACAGGATCAGACCACGACATGGAATCAGACATGACACAGAGTCAGACCACGACACAGGGTCAGACTACAATGTGGAGTCAGACATGACACAGGATCAGACCATGACACGGGGTCAGACATGACAGGGGTCAGACATGACATGGGGTCAGACCACAGCATATCAGAACTCATGGTGCTCAGAGGTTTGCTGAGAATGACAGAAGGATCCAGGTTTCTTTTGGAAAGATAATGCATCTTTTGCTCATCAAAGGTGGCGGGAGAGACCTGAATTTAATTCTTCTTTTAGGAATTTGCCCAATTTTCCCTAGGCCACAAAGGCCTACCTTTAAGGTTGTACATTGCACTGTTATTTTGCAATAATCTTTTAAAAAATGAAAATCTTGGGGCTGGCGCTGTGGCACAGCGGGTTAAAGCCCTGGCCTGCAGTGCCAGTGTCCTATATGGGCACCGGTTCGAGTCCTGGCTGCTCCACTTCCAATCCAGCTCTCTGCTATGGCCTGGGAAAGCAGTAGAAGATGGCCCAAGTCCTTGGGCCCCTGCACCCACGTGGGAGACCTGGAAGAAGCGCCCAGCTCCTGGCCTCGAATTAGCGTAGCTCTGGCCGTTGTGGCCAATTGGGGAGTGAACCAGCAGATGGAAGACCCCTCTCTCTCTCTCTGCCTCTCCTCTCTCTATGCAACTCTGACTTTCAAATAAATAAATAAATCTTAAAAAAAAGAAAATCTTTCAGCAGAGAAAGAGTTAAACATGGGACAGCCCATCCAGGGAGAAGCCAGCACAGCCGGTAAGGGGAAGTCGGGGGGGGGGGGGGGCTCTGCTGCTCCCTGTGCAGTGCTGACTGTAGTAAAACAAGCAGGCACGACTTTTTTAAAATTAAAACCTCAATTCAGATAAGAGGAAAAGAACAAGCCAATTAAGAAAGGATGAAGTGGATGAATGTGTGATATGAAAAAAAATCTGGATTTCGGAGTCGAGGAAAAGCAGTCGCAAGGCACTCTGTATAAACGGATCCCTTTCCGGTAGAATCACGCTGTCTGAAGCCAATTTTCTCGCTGCTCCCCGTCCACACACAGACACGCTCACGTGTTGAGCTTATCTCACAAAGCTCTCGCAAAGTGGAACTATGTACTTTAGTGGAAAAAGTTTGAAATCCTGGGGCCAGTGTGGTGGCACAGGGAGTTAAGCTGCCGCCTGCAGCGCCGGCTTCCCATATGGACGCCGGTTCAAGTCCCAGCTGCTCCACTTCCAATCCAGCTCCCAGCTATGGCCTGGGAAAACAGTGGAAGATGGACCAAGTGCTTGGACTCTTGCCATTCACGTGGGAGACTCAGAAGGAGCTCCTGGCTCCTGGCTTCAGCTTGGCCCAACCCCAGCCATGGTGGCCATTTTGGGAGTGAACCGATGGATGGAAGATCTCTCTGTCTCTCCTTTCTCTCTCTGTCTCTCTGCCTTTCAAATAAATAATACATCTTTCAGATACATTCTGAAATCCATGCATAGTGCTTGCACGATGTGCATTTCCATGAACTTTTTGAGTAGTCCATATGTGTCCCTGTGTCACATGTACACACACACACGTGTGTGCACGTTAACACCGTTGGAACAGTTGGAGTGAACATCTCATAGGAGCATCACTTCCGGCCAGTTGAGTCCTTCCTGACTTCGTTATTTTCCCACTCCCTGGGAATGAAAAGTGAGCGTTTGCTCAGTGCGGGTGGAGACGGGATTCTGCACATCGTCTGATGTCAGAGAGCAGTTGGCCCGATGTAAGGCATTCACGACGGCCAGGGAGCCCCACGTCCCATGGGGCTTTGCTGACGTCACCTGGATGCAGACTGGGTGAGGGACCCAGCGAGTGAGCATCAAACACCCAAGGCAACAAGGACCCAGAACAAATCTGTTTGTTCTAACTTGGACCTCTCTTGGGACAAAGATTGAAGCAGGCGGGAAAACTTTCCACGGGCAGCTTGCTGATACCCCTTCCTGGTCCTTACGATTTTTTAGAGGTCGCCCCTCTTCCTGTCCAGCTCTCTGCTGTGGCCCGGGAGGGCAGTGGAGGATGGCCCAAGTGCTTGGGCCCTGCACCCCATGGGAGACCAGGAGAGGCACCTGGCTCCTGGCTCCTGCCATTGGATCAGTGCGATGCACCAGCCGCAGCGCGCCAGCCGCGGCGGCCATTGGAGGGTGAACCAACGGCAAAGGAAGACCTTTCTCTCTCTCTCTCTCTCTCTCACTGTCCACTCTGCCTGTCAAAAAAAAAATGTTAAGTCTATGCATCCAAGGAATCTTCAAAAAATACAGAAGCAGTGTATTTTGTGAAAAAAAAAAATTCTTGGAAAATGGGATTAAAAGATGTGCTTTACGTTGATGCAAGAAATCTTGAAATTCATGCACAATTTTTTCACAATACACATCTCCACGAACATTTTGAAGATCCCTCCGTGCATGGCTTCTTATTTTTTTGCACCAACATAAATTCACCTAATTTTTTAAAAAAATATTTATTTGAAAGAAGAAAGAGAGAGAGAGAGAGAGAGAGAGAGAGGAGAGGAGTTAGTTTCTATTTGCAGGTTCACTCCTCAAATGGCCAAGTCTGGATCAGGTTGAAGCCAAGAGCTGGTAACTCCATCTAGGTCTCCCCTGTGGGCGGCAGTGGCCCAGGCTTGGGCCACCTGCCACTTCCTTCCCAGGAGCATTGGCAGGGAGCTGGATGGGAAGTGGAGCAGCCGGGACTTGAACCAGAACTCATAGGGGAAGCTGGCTTTGCAGGCAGTGGCTTAACCCACTGTGCCTCAAGGCAGGAGCCAAACATATCTTTCAAGACCATTTCCCATGCACGTTGCCGTCCCCTGTCCCCTTGTACACCTGCAGGGTCCCGTGCACAGCTCGTGTAGCCAGTGCTGTGGCTCTGTGGTGGGTTCTTCCGAGTCCCCCACAGTTGGAATCGGTTTTCTTGGATGTTGAAAGGTTTGTGCCAGTGACTTTCATGCCTTGGCCCTGACAGCATCTTTCTCTGTGTGCACTTCCTGTTTCTTACTATGCAATTGATGATTCAAGTCTTAGCTAACAGCTCTGCCCGTCTGTCCCAGAGCCTCAGCCAGAGCATGAGGACTAGCTCATGATTTAGGACACAGACTGCGGAAGGCTGGGAGATGGGGCCACTTCCAAATTATCTCCCGTCCCTGCTGGGGAGACACCAGCGTGGCCACCAGCAGCACTGTCATTGTGTGTCTGGTCTGCATGCCTGGGGTGGGGACGGGGCGGCACAGAAAGCAGGCAGAAGCAATTCTGAGTCTGGGGTGCTTACGGCCGATGAGGTCAGCTTACGTACGGGAAGGGTTTATAACTGGGGCCCCAAGAACCAGCCTGAGCTTGTTTAACATGGCTATTACTGGATCGCAAAGACCCGAACCTGAATGCTGTTTGCACACCAGCTACAGGTAAGGGAGCTTCAAAAAGGGAAGTGCACAGAATGACTTTTTTAAAACTATTTTTAGATTCATTTGAAAGGCAGCCAGACAGAGATAGGCCATTTGCTGGTTCATTCCGCCAAATAAATGGGGTGGGATCAGGTGGGATCAGGCCAAACCCAAGGGCCAGGGTCTCATTTTTTTTTTCTGACAGGCAGAGTGGACAGTGAGAGAGAGAGAGAAAGGTCTTCCTTTGCCGTTGGTTCACCCCTCAGTGGCCACTGCAGCCGGGTGCTGCGGCTGCGCTGATCCGAAGGCAGGAGCCAGGTGCTTCTCCTGGTCTCCCATGCAGGTGCAGGGCCCAAGCACTTGGGCCATCCTCCACTGCCCTCCCGGGCCACAGCAGAGAGCTGAACTGGAAGAGGAGCAACCGGGACAGAATCCAGCGCCCCAACTGGGACTAGAACCTGGGTGCCGGTGCTGCAGGCGGAGGACTAGCCTAGTGAGCTGTGGCGCCAGCCCAGGGTCTCATTTCAAGTCGCTCATGTGGGTGCAGGGACGCAACTCCTTGGGTCATTGCCTGCTGTCTCCCAGGAATGCTGGACCAGGGAGCAGAGCCTTGACTGAAATCCTGGCCCCCTCCTATGGGATGAGAATGTCCCAAGTGGAGTCTTAGCTGCTGTGCCGAATGCCTGCCTGTGTTTATAATGCGACTTTCCATGACTTTTCAGAAGCTGTCTGCTATACCCAAGCAGCGCAGTGCACACCACTCCTGGTTGTCTCACACCCGGCTCCCAAGACCCCACCGAGGCAGGCGGCATAACCTTGGTGAGCGTTGGTGGGGGAGGAGGGAGGCAGATTCTACAGCACAGGTCTTGCCTGCCTCTAAGCAGAGCAACCCCCTGGGAGGGAGCCACCACTCGGTTCCCAGGGGAGAAAACGAGACCCTTCTTACTCTTCTCGCAGAACGGGGGGTCGCTGCTCCAGCTGAGGTCCCACTGGCAGGCGAGGGTGTCGCTGCCCACGATGTCGTAGCCGGGGTCGCACTGGTAGGTGATCCTGGCTCCCCGCACCAGCTCCGTGTGGGATGTGGTCTTCCAGCCGTTCTGGATCTCAGGCAGGTCTGAGCATGAGTCATTTCTGGACACCTCTTTAAGAAAAAAGCGTCACACTTAGAGGAGAAGGTGGCCTCTGGCTTGGGTTGCTCCTTGGGAATGTGGGAAAGGCTCGGAGAAGGAAGACCCCTCCGGGAATACCTAACAATCCTTCCACAATCCCTTACATGGCAAGAACGCTTCTGTCATGGGATTCTGCTACTACCCCTTCTCCTGGGCCATGAAGACCAAATGCTCTGGTGAATAAAACCAACGTAGGGCTTAGAATCAGAGAGAACCCCAACTCTGCCACCTGCTGGGCGGGAAGCCGGCCGTGTCCTTTCTCCAAGACTCAGACATCATTGTTCTGGAAGAACCTGTCTCACCGCAGCAGGCGGCTTCCAACGTCTCCCCTAGTGACTCAACGACTCCCACCTCCTGGAGCTCACACTCACCGCTGGTCCCCACCCACCCTGAAGACGCAGGTGCAAACGCCGTCATGCGTGGGCCTGAAGACATTGACACTTTTTCCTCGCTCCCTGGAGGCAGCTGTCCTGCTGGAGAGAAACTGAAGCCTCTGTTCAGGGACCAGCCAGCCACACGTGGGGGCGTCTGGAAGCAGATGGGTGCAGCCCCAGGCAAGCACTGGCTGACATTGTGACATTGTGACATTGTGACTGCAACCTCTCAAGAGCGAACACAGGGTGGAGCTTCCAGCTAACGCTCTCCAGAATTGATGACTTGCAGGAACCGTGAGGCCACCCAAGGGCGTGGCTAACCTGGGGTGCAGTCTATTGCAACAGTAGCAGGAAACCAGGATGCCCAGCCTTCGCCTCAGAACACCGCTAAATCCTTGGGTTTGATGAACTACCAATGTTGTGCTTGTAACATGCATGACATACTTAGCTATCACAATGAAATGGTGGGCTATGTGGCTTGGTGGCCAAGCCACTGGCTAAGACGCCTGCCTCCTACATCGGAGTGCCTGGCTCTGACTCCTGACTCCAGCTTCTTGCTAACTCAGACCTTAGGAGGCAGTGCTGATGGCACAAGTAATTGGGTCCCTGATACCTGTGTGGGAGACCTGGGTTGTGTTCCTGGCTCTCGGCTTTGGTTTGGCCCAGTCCTGGCTATCGCAAGCATAGCCACAGGGGGTGAAGCACTGGATGGGAGGGCCCCTCTGCTCCTGTCTCTCAAATAAATCAATCAATAAATACTTTTAATTTATTTGCCTTGAAAGACAAAGCAAGACAGACAGATAGATAGAACTTCCATCTGCTGGTTCACTCCCCAGATACCAGCAATGGGCAGAGTTGGGCCAGGCTTAAGCCAGGAGCCCAGAATTCCACTCAGGCCTCCCACCTGGGTGGCAGGGACTCAAGCATTTGAGCAGGATGCATTAGCAGGAAGCTGGATTGGAAGCAGAGTAGTTGGGACTTGAACCGGCACTTGGATAGAAGAAGCAGGCATTCCAAACAGTGGCTTCCCTCTGTGTGCCACCATAACATCTATCCCAGAAATGAATTTTTAGAAATAGCTCTTGGTATAGTGTCCAAATCAAGTCACATATCGTCAGTGACTATTGATTTTACTCCAGAACCTGCCAGCCACAGTGTACCATTGCAGAGTCTTCCTCCAACAAACCCTCGTGACTAAGACAGCAAGGCAGAGCCCATGCCTAGGATCCTTGCTCCCCGAGTGCCCACTGCGCAGACGTGGGGAAGAGAGCTAATTATGTCGAGTAATTAATTTGCAGCTCTCGTGCAAAGCCCCTCCACTGTCTGCAGGAGAGCCGTTCTGAGAAGCCGGCGATGGCTTTTCCTGGGATTTCATCGCGGTTTTATTTGGGGAAGGGAGCTCTCTTGGGTGTCTACGAGAAGAAGGGGGCAGGGAACCGGCTTCCAGAATAGCTTCGTGGGGGGATGAGAGCCTCTATTTTTAGACCTTTGAAAAAGCAGCCAAGCCCCGGCTTCAGGACACAGCTACTAATGCTCACACTGGGGATGAAAGGGAAGAAACGGGGGCACATACGAGACATGCGGTCTGCCTGTGCCAAGGGCTTTGAGACCGAGAGCGCGCTGCAGGGTGAGACCGTGGGGCTCCATGCCCCAGGAGGACTTCCTGTGTCCCCTGCGACAGTCACAGTATTTGTAATTCACTCGGCTGCTGGCTGGGTAGCAGAGCCTGGGACTACACCCTGGCTTCGCTGTGTACTAACTGGGTGGCCTTGGCTGAGCCTCTCAACTCCCTGTCTGTCAGTTCCCAGCCTCCGCTGCGCAGACCCTCACTCAGGAATTGGCATTTTTGCCAAGCATCCTAAGTGGAGGTTCTGGAATTGTCTCTTCTTCTGGGGCCTCTGTGGCTTTGTTAAGAATGAGGCAACTGGCCCAGGAGTCAGAAGATGACCTGATGACCCTCCTTCTTTAATTAATTGACTAATTCATTGTCTCCTTTCTTTAAGAAGCTGTGTGACTCTTTCATGTCAATTAACTGTTCTAAGCCTCATCGTCCTCACCTACGGAATGGGGTCAAGAATTGTGAGTCCCCTGGCAGGTGTTTAGCTCAGCAGCTGAGACACTGGTTAGGAGGCTTGCATCTCACATCAGAGCACTAGGGCTTAAAATCCCAAACACGGCTCCTGAGTCCAGTTTCCTGCTACTGCAGACCCTGGGAGGCAATAGTGATGGCTCAAGTTGTCGGGTGTCTGTCATTCTTTTGGGAGGCCGGGGCTGAGTTTTTGGTTCCTGGATTCAGCCTTGGTCTGGTGCTGTGCTGGCTGTTGTGGGCACTGCAGGGGAATAAACCGGCAGATGGGAGCTCTCTCTGTCTGTCTGTGTCTCTCCGATAATGAAAAATCGCGACCCTGTCATTCCCAAGGGGCAATGTAAACGCTAACAGCACGCGGGGTATGACAATGCTGGGTGAACACTAAGCTGGGGTCGGGGGGGGGAGTCGTGTATTTGTTGGGCTAAGACTGTGAGCACCTCTTCTATGCCAGGCACAAGAATCTGAAATCATTGTTGTAGTCTCCCAGTCAAGATCAACACCACGATCCAACTTCTCTCTTCTCCTCTTTTTTTTTTTTTTAAATTTTTTGACAGGCAGAGTTAGACAGTGAGAGAGAGAGAGAGAGAGACAGACAGACAGAGAGAAAGGTCTTTTTTTTTTTCCATTGGTTCACCCCCCAAGTGGCTGCCATGGCCAGCGCGTTGCGGCCAGCGCACTGTGCTGATCCGAATCCAGGAGCCAGGTGCCTCCTCCTGGTCTCCCATATGGGTGCAGGGCCTAAGCACTTGGGCCATCCTCCACTGCCTTCCTGGGCCACAGCAAAGAGCTGGACTGGAAGAGGAGCAACCAGGACAGAATCCGGCATCCCAACCGGGACTAGAACCTGGGTGCCGGTGCTGCAGGCCGAGGATTAGCCTAGTGAGTCATGGTGCCTGCCCCTCTTCTTCTCCTTCCCTTTCTTCCTCCCCTCCTCCTCCTTCTTCTCTCTCCCTCTCCTTCTCTCTCTCTCTCTCTCCCCCTCTCTCCCTTTCTTTCTCTCTCTCTCCCTCTGCTCTCTCTCCTTCTCTCTCTCCCCCCTCTCCCTCTCTCTGTCTCTCCTTCTCTCTCCCTCTCCTTCTCCCTCTCTCCCTTTCCATCTCTCTCTCTCTCCCTCTCCTTTCTCTCCTTCTCTCTCCCCCCCTCCTTCTCTCTCTCTCTCCCTCTCCTCTCTCTCCTTCTCTCTCTCTCCTTTCTCTCTCTCCCCCCTCCTTCTCTCTCTCTCTCTCTCTCTCTCTCTCTCTCTCTCCCAGCTTTGCTGGGATGTGTGTCCCTAAGAAGCCTTCCCTGCAGCCCCCTGCCACCTTGTCACACTGCTCAGGGCAGGTCCTGACATGGGATTGTCCCTCCTATGCTCGGTAGCCCACAGAGGGAGCGTTCTACTCATTCCTGCCTCCTGGTGAACTCATCAAGAGACTATTGTGAATGGAACCTTCTGGGAAATGGAACATTGGAAGAGGAAATAAAACAGTAAACATAGGGGCTTGTCAACTGTACATTGTCACCCAATTCCAAGTTTCAAGTTCAGTTGGCAAGTACTCCTCTTCAAGATGTTAGCAGACAGAACACTGGCCGGACTGTCTATGCAGCCTTGGAGAGTCAGATTTTTCCCATCGTGCTCAATGCAGTTTTCAAAGACTGTCTTGGGCACCGGAGGAGACAAATGAGCAGAACTATGACCTCATCTTTCGGCTGGGAGGAAGAAAATCTCACAAGACAGAGCAAGTCAACGCACCAGAAACTCTGCCAAGATGGCTGACTCCGGAGGGCACCTAACCCAGACCCCGGCACCCGCGGCTCTGCCTGCCCAAGAGCAGGGACCTCAAGGAAAGCAGCGGCAATAACAATCTGAAAATATTTAGCAGCACAATCAAGGGTGAAAAGGCCCCCGAGAAACATCAACAAGAAGATCAATACTTGTGCAAGCCGCTTTGCAAGGCGGACGCACAGCGGGCAGGGCTGGACAATGCTCAGTGGCCAGAAATAGAGGAGCCACGGCCTCGGTCAGACCTGCGTGAGGCTGCGTGAGGCGGCCGAGGGGAGGGGGACGGCTGGGTTTTAGACGCAAGCACAGGCTCTGTGAGATGGAAACCGGCGATTCACCAAGCCAAGGGGAAGAAAGAGCCAGAGTCGTGCTCCAGCAAGGGGGCAATGGGGATGGAGAGGGTGGTGGTGGTGGGCAGGGCTTGCAAGGTGAATCCCTCTGTTCCCCACTCTGTGCTGGAAATCAAGAAGCCAACCTGGTTTATAGGAAGCTCAAACCTTTTCCCCTCACTGCAGGCTGAATCCTGCTCATTGGACACCTCAGTGCTCAACCACCCACCTATTCTGGACATCAACAGATATTAGGTCTTTTTTTTTTTTTTTTTTTGACAGGCAGAGTGGACAGTGAGAGAGAGAGAGAGAGAGAGAGAGAGAGAGAGAGGTCTTCCTTTTGCCATTGGTTCACCCTCCAATGGCCATCAAAGCTGGTGCACTGCGGCCGGCACACCACGCTGATCTGAAGGCAGGAGCCAGGTGCTTCTCCTGGTTTCCCATGCAGGTGCAGGGCCCAAGCACTTGGGCCATCCTCCACTGCACTCCCGGGCCACAGCAGAGAGCTGGCCTGGAAGAGGGGCAATCAGGACAGAATCCGGCGCCCTGACCGTGACTAGAACCCGGGGTGCCGGCGCCACAAGGCAGAGGATTAGCTTATTGAGCCACTGCACCGGCCCTAGATATTAGGTCTTAATTATCCCCCTTGTGTCTCCCAGGCTCTCTGATGTGGCCAAGGGCACTGGGGGTGAACAGTCTATCAGAGCTGGGAGTAGGGAATCCAAGACGTGACCCTCAGTTCTGCCCCTGATCTGTGCTGTGAGTAGAGACGAGCGTTGGGCGGAGGGAGTTTTTTGTGCCGTGACATGATCAAGTCGGGTCAGATGTTCAGGTCCCTTCTGGGGTTGGGATCAGTGGGACTTCCCCATGTCCTCGTCTGCCGCTGGCCGTCATAGCAGTCTGAACCAGGATGGTGGCCATGCAAAGGTGGAGAGAAGTGCTTGGATGGGAGACTTCAGTGGGCATGTGGTTGGAAGGATTCCTTGGTCATGAGGGTGAAGCAGGAGGAGGCGGCTGAGAAACCAGGAGCGTGGTGGTCCTGCTTGCTGAGACGGGGACACAGCAGGTGTCACGGCTGGGCAGTGGGATGGGGCCAGGTCAGGGCGTTGCTCTGCTTGGCCGTGCTACATCTGAGCTGCCCGTGCAGCATGCGGGAGAGTGGCCAGCAGAAAGCTGGACGGATGCCTCTGGCATTCACGGTTGAGGTCGGCAGGACAAATCAGGGGTCGATGGACAGAGCATCGTCTGTCCAGGCCTGGATGTGGGCCTACAGGGAGTGAGTGTAGGTGGAGAAGAAGCGTCCACGGTGGAGGCTGGGCTCTTCCAGCATGGTGGAGCCAGTGATGAGTGGAGGGGAGGCGGGGCGGGGGGCGGGGAGGGAAGGGTGCGAGCCAATGGAAGCATGGAGAGAGACTACTGGGTGGGCAAAGGTGACGCTGGCTTGACCCTAACAGTGGGCATCTTTCCTTTTGGCTTCTTCTTGCTTTGAGATGAACAGGACAGGCATGGTTTGGCAGCTACTTTGGTCCCAGAAGACACTTCTTGAATCTATAGGGGAAAGTCTGAGAGGTGGGAGGGGAGTCCGTTGCCCATATAACATCTCAGCTGACCCCAAAGCAAATCTTAAAGCTGAATCTTAAAGCTACGTCGCATTATCTACTAGTCCTGATGGCAGACTTGTGCAGTAGGACTCACTATACCCAGTTTTTTTTTTTTTTTTTTTGGACAGGCAGAGTGGACAGTGAGAGAGAGAGAGAGAGAGAGAGGAAGGTCTTCCTTTGCCATTGGTTCACCCTCCAATGGCCGCCGTGGCCGGCGCACCGCACTGATCCGATGGCAGAAGCCAGGTACTTATCCTGGTCTCCCATGGGGTGCAGGGCCCAAGCACTTGGGCCATCCTCCACTGCACTCCCGGGCCACAGCAGAGAGCTGGCCTGGAAGAGGGGCAACCGGGACAGAATCCGGCGTCCCGACCAGGACTAGAACCTGGTGTGCCGGCGCCGCAGGGCGGAGGATTAGCCTAGTGAGCCGCGGCGCCGGCTTATACCGGTTTTAAATGCTTATTTCCTCTACCAGAATGACAGGATGGCAGCGAGAGGGACAGAGAGAGATACACGCACAAGAGAGATCTTTCATCCGCCCATCCACTTCCCAAATGTTTGTAACAGCCAGGGCTGGGCCAGGAGCCCAGAGCGCCACCCAGGTCTCGCACGTGGGTGGCAGGGATCCAAGTACTTGCACCATCCTCTGTTGCCTCCCGGAGTGTGCATCAGCAGGGAGCTGGGAGGGAAGTGTGGGCAGGACTAGAGCCCCGACGCTCCGTTAAGGGATGCGGGCAGCCCGAACACTACTCTCGTTCTGTAGTTGACAAAAACGAGGCTCCGAGAGGTTCCTCGGCCTGCCCAAGGTCACGCGGGCCCCGATGACAGCACTAAGACTCCAACCGTGATTCTGGAGACTAGCAAGCCCAGGATCTTAAAAATTTAACATGAAAAAACTCACACGGCACCAGACCTCCACACACACATAGAGGAGCCATCGGCTGTGGTTTGGACATGGAGTTCCCTGGGGCTTCAAGGGCCAAAAGCTTGGTCCTTGGTGTGGCGATGCCAGGAGGTGGTGGGTTTTAAGAAGCGGGGTCTGGCAGGAGGTAATTCAGTTACTGGGGGCATTGCCCTTGAAGGGGATTCATTAGTTCTGGGAACCTGGTTAGCGCCTGTGAGAGTGGGCTGTTAACAGAAAGAACGAGACGGACCCTGAGTCCCCGACTCACGTCTCTCCATAAGGGTTTTCTCTGTCTTGCGCTGGCTCCCCCAGGATGCCGGGCACCAGTGCTGGGCTGCAGTCACCAGGCCCTCGCCAGGGCTCAGCAGGAACTGCAACCATGCTCTTTCATACATCGCCCAGCGTCAGGGAGTTTGTTGTAGCAACAGAAAATGGACTAAGACATCATCTTAAGCCACATCGAACTCCCCGCCCGCCCCCGCCAAAAAATAAAAAAAAGTGGACTGGAAGAGACACTTACCTATGTAGTTCATGATAAACCCCTGACCCTTTCCAAAGATGAGGCCGGCAGGGTCCGAGTGGAACTGGATGGTCAGGTCTGGTGTGGACGAGTACAGCTTTTGCGGGCCGCTGTTCCCAAGGTACTGGCCCAAGATGTGGGGCATGGCCTCGCCACCGTCATAGATGGTCAAGATGTCGCTGTTACTCAGGTTCAGGCTTGGGGGGCGGGGAGGAGGGTGGAGAAAAGAGGAGAACGTCACGCGGAGCCAACAAGGGCCCTGAGTAAGCCTCTGGTTCTGTCTTTCATGGGACACACACTTTCTCAGGATCCCTGGGGAGTCGTGCCCAGCTCAGGAGGTGGGGGCTCCGGAGGCCTTCACGCTGCTCCTTCCTGCCGACCCAGCACACAGATTTTGGTAAATGCTTGGGTGTTGGACGACTCATTCACGAAACGGCCCTCACTGCAGTCAGATGCTTGCAGGGTAAGAAGCATCCCCCGTGGAGGCTGGCGCGTGGCGTAGCAGGTAAAGCCTCCACCTGCAGTGCCGACATACCATATGGGCACCGGTTTGAGACCTGGCTGCTCCACTTCCGATCCAACCCTCTGCTGTGGCCTGGGAAACCAGTAGAAGATGGCCTGAGTCCTTGGGCCCCTGCACTCGCATGGGAGACCTGGAAGAAGCTCCTGGCTCCTGGCTTCGGATAGGCCCAGCTCTGACCATTGTGGCCAATTGGGGAGTGAACCAGTGGATGGAAGACCTCTCTCTCTCTCTGCCTCTCCTTCTCTCTCTGTGTAACTCTAACTTTCAAATAAATAAATGAATTTTTTTTTAAAAAAGAAGCATTCCCCAGTGTCCCTGTCCTCAACACCCATTCCCTGGGTGATAACCAGAGCTGGGCTACCTGTCGGATGTGACATGAGTTTGTCATTCTGCTTTGATGCAGAACGCGCTGGTGGCTTGCAGGTTGTAACTCCCTGTAGGTGATGGGTCTTTCCACTCAGCAGGCAGCAAATCCCTCAAGAACCAGGCTGTCCAGGATGTTTAAGGGGTGGGGTAGGGGGCGGATGGCGGTGCCTGGCTCACGAGCTTTGCCCAAACCTGCTGTCACTACTCAGACCATGCAAGGCTGACACGTTTCAAAGACTCACATGCAGGAGTCTGCCTTGACCACCGTGGGCAGGGAACAACCAACCCCCTACACACGTCCATAGGCTGCAGAAGCGCATACCATCCTAGGGGCTCTGGATAAAATCAATCTCTGATTCAAAGACTGTCAGACGATTCGACTCTCATCATCAGCACCATCATCATCCTCTATCCCCTTCCATCTCCTCCCTCTCTCTCTTACATCACCTCCTCTGGTCTCCCTCTCTCTAACATTTTCTGAGTACCTCCTATGTACCAGGCACTGTGCTGGACCCAGAGGAGTCCCAGGGTGGTCGTGATAGACTTAGACACATAGGTCAGGGGTTGATCAAAGTGAGGGCATCCAATTCAGACAGAGGGCACCATGGAGGACTCCCTGGAGGAGGTGACGGCTACTCTGAAGTCTCAAGAAAGCGTGGGGGATTTCAAGGAGGTAAACAGGATTGGAGGAGAAGCCAAAACATGAGGCATATGAAGGGACCAAGGTCGTGGCTCCTGTGGTGGTCACTTCATCTGTGGTGCAGAACATGAAGGACTTAAAGAACCAGGCTTAAGTGTTTGGGCATAATCTCGCTGGGGATGTGGACACACTGGAGGTTTTTTTTTTCTTTATAAAGATTTATTTATTTACTTGACAGGTAGATTTACAGAGAAAGGGAGAGGGAGAAAGAGAGAGAGATCTTCCATCCATTGGTTCACTCCCCAAATGGCCACAATGGCCAGGGCTGAACCAGGCTGAAGCCAGGAACCTGGAAGTCCTTCTGGTTCTCCTACATGGGTGGCAGGGGCCCAAGCACTTGAATCATCCTCCACTGCTTTCCCAGGCCATTAGCAGGGAGCTGGATCAGAAGTGAAGCAGCTGGGACTTGACTTGGCGCCCCTATGGGATGCCAGCACTGCAGGCGGGGGCTTCACCTGATGCACCACAGTGCCCGCGCCCTCTGGAGGGTTTTAAAAGGGAGCAGCATGGCCGAGCACCCCACTGCCACTTGAGAGATGCCCTAGGAAACGGCTCTGACGCATGTTCCTGGAACCGCTGCAGACTGACCGCAGCCCTCACCTAGGACAACCTCATCCAACACCCAGCAGTGGCGTTTGCTGCCTGTCTGGGCCAGCTGGGAGCGGGGAGAGGTGGGGAGGCACAGGGAGGAGTGGGGCTCGCTGCCCATGCTGGTGTTTCACGGGGTCGGTGCCAAGCGACAGAGCACAGGGAGCCCTGCCATCACCATGCTTTGGCGACTATTCTCTATATATCCAAGACCTCGCCCTCATGTGAAGCTGCCCCAAGGAGTGGCACAGGGGGACTTTAACTTCCTCCGCCCAATGCCCCATCAGTTTCCCCTGCACCACCGCCCAAACAGCCTCTCCTCAGAGAAGCCGCTGTCTGGGTTTGCACAAGACAAGGTCCTGGTCCCTCTTTCCTTCTGGTTTCCAACCATTCTGAAGTCCTTAAACACATACTATAACAAAACTCCGGATTTCCCCCCTTCCTTTGTACACAGTAGGCATTCAATAAATGCTTTGGTGCCAAAGAGCCTGCTGGAGAGTCTCTTTGACAGCAGAATTAGTGGGGCTGATGTCAGCTCCTGACCTATGGTAGGAAAGAACCTCTTTAGATTTAAGTACCATGAAAGCATCGATCACTGCGGAAAGTGCTGGGTTAGCCTCGTGTGGGACATGGGCGATGGTGGAGACTTATTCCTTAGGCTGCCTTCTCAGCTGATCTGCTGGCTACAAAGGGTTCCAGACAGCAGCCGCTTGGCTTTGCTCTGTCATTCTTGTCAATGATCAGAATGCAGTTGCAGCAGCTTCAAGGGTTCAAGCCCCTTTCATCTGAAAACGCTGCCACAGCTCTCTGTTCTCTCTAAGGGAGGAGGGAGCAGCACGCTCGCTGGCCTGGGAGCCAGGAAGCCCCAGTTTCACTCTCGGCTTTGCCGCTTTCATGGCGAGCATGCAGCTTCTCCTCAAGTTCCTTGTCTATGGATCCAGCTCAGTATTTCTCATCTGCGGCATGGACTTTGGGAACGAGGTAAGGGATGCAGAATTCCTGGGCTCACTGCTAGCACCTGAGCAAGTTTGAGTTGCTTGGGTGTTATATTGTTCTGCCTCAGGTTCCTTAAGGGAATTATCATCA